GAACAATGTCAAAACATTCTTCACATAATGCTCTTGTACCTTGTTTGCTCGTCATTCTTATCAAGCACGTGTCAAAGACTTACATACCAATTCGGCTATGCAGCGTTTTTGGTGCGAGGGGGATAAGATTCTCGTGTATAAAAAGCAACAGCCAAACTGGTGATGATGTAACTCCATGACACATTACTTCGATGTTCATCTGATGATGGTACGCTTGTTTTTCCACACATATTTAACGCTTTTTATTTGTAAATATTTTTGCGCTTATTTCAAAGTAAATTAACCCTCTAATGCATTAATTTTTCCCAGAGCTGGGAGTAGTAGTACTTGGTTGATTTTTGGCCATAGATATTCAAAAAAATATTCATAATCCTGGATTCCTCATGGTTTAGTCAGGAAATGCGATTGACATAAATCAGAAAACAATCAAATCCATTGTTTAAAAGTGTCAAAAATGTGTCCAATTTGAAGTTCGAATAATTTATTTTGTCAAATTCTTGTTTTTGCACACATTTTTGTTTATAACTTTACAATCACACTACATAAACAAATATTGCCAAGACAAAAATAAAGGAAGAACATTGACGAATGAAATTTTTTTTTGAAGCAATGTGATCCGATGTACGGAGGGTTAACAACATCTACAGCAACAGCAATAATAATAATAATAATGAACGAAGCATAGGTGTACTGTGTGTGTGTGTGTGTGTTTGTGTTTCCCAGTGACACCTACTCGAAGTTATGAAGTTTCTTGGCTATTCAATAGGCGATGCACTGCTCAAAGCCAAAATCGATGTGCCAAACACGTATGTGCGACGATACGAAGGAAACGAATGAATGGGATGAAAAGATGTGAATATTAAAGAGGAAAAAAAAACAATAATCACACGCGTAACACACATCAACCAGCTCTCTTCTTGCTCCTCCACTTGACAGAAAACGAGAGAAAGAGTTAAGTGCTTGCATAACTTATATACGCTTTGTTGTAAAATAAAAATCAACTCACACCGATGCGCAAAACAAGAGAGTCGAGAATCGAACGTAAAGACATCGAAGAAAATAGAAGAAAAGCACAAAATCAGCATCTCAAAGTATTTTCTTTTTCCTTTACAAAGCCCAACCAAGATCACCCGTACTGGTGAGTGAGTGAGTGAGTGGGCGAGCGAGCGAGCGAGAGAGAGAGAGAGAGAGAGAGAGAGAGAGAGAGAGAGAGAGAGAGAAAGTGAACGACGAGATAAAGAATGAGACCTGAAAGTGGTAGACACGCACAGACGCAGACAGTCACACAAATTATTCATAGCAAATGGAACGGCAAAGGGAAGGTAGCAGCGTTATGCACGACATTGAACTTAATTGTTAAACCTCATGAAAGTATTTCCGCCAACGTTTCCTGAAGACTTGAAACTAAATTAAAAATTAAAATCGGATGTTGAATCGGTATGGCAAACTGGTAAAAGTTTGTGTCATTTTATCTTTGTGTGTGTACGCGTGTACTGTGTTTGTATATGAATTTCTTTTCTCTCCGATCCCCTTTTTGTCCTCCTTTGTTTCGCATCTTTAAGTTGTTGTTGTTGCCTTATTTTTTCTCTCGCGCCGAACATTCTGAATGTTCTACTAACTAAAGGCGTGCGTTGTAAAAAATATCGAGCATCAAATGTGTTTCGATCTTCACCACAAAACGAACAAGGAATGTATTGCAATAAAACAATGTTTTCTATAAAGGAAAGCGTTTGATGGCTCTTTTTCTTTCGGGAGCCCATTTACGTACCCCAACCCGTAACAACCGACAAAAGGTATATACAATAGAAAATGAACGGAGGAAAAAGGGTCACGAAAAGTCGTTTTCTAGTTGGTTCGTTCGTTGCTGTTGGTGGGCAAATTGCCGTGCGGTTATCATTCATGGAATATGCAAGAAAGAAACAGCGAGATGTGTGTGTGTGTGTGTGTGTGTGTGTGTGTGTGTGTCTCAATTACGTAATATTTTAAATAACCAAACATATGGTCGATGAAGGCATGATAGTGCACAAAATGAGATAGAATGTCGCTAACGATAAACGAACACGTTATGCACCGACAGCAAAAACACACATACGCCAATGGAAAAGATTCGGTTAGCGGTGAACATGTAGAACGAAATCATCTGAACTGAGAAAATTGATCTTTGACAACGACCGAGTAATGAGCATTGGGCACTTCATTGCACCGTTTAAACGAACCGTCTGACGATAACAAAAAAAAAACCAGTGTCGATGTATGTGTGTATGTTACTTTCCCTCAATCATGCACCACACAGTCTTGCAAAGCACGCGGGCTAATTTCAATAATAATTTTTCCCAAAGCAATTGGTTCGTTTACAGTTCAATGAGCAATCTTATCGCATCGCATCAAACAATTAACGGAGTTAAGCATAATTGACATCGATAATAAGCTAGTGAAACTTGTTGAGAATTAAGTGCTGTAATTATCTCGAAATGTTTGAGTTTTCACTATGGTGAAATGGCTGCTTTCGTTATTTTTCTCCCCTCACTTCGCCTTCGTCATCGTCGACTTCTTCTTCTTCTTTATTTGCCACTCGATAAATGGAAAGTGTTCCCATGGATATATCAACGGCTTCAACTTTATTGGCCTTGCTTAAGTTTGCAAATAAAAACCACTTCAAATGCAAATGTTGAACCAATAAATCCAAACATTGTCCCGAAGTATAAATGACACATATGATAAAAAAAAACACGGCGGCAGCAACGAAAGCAGTAGCAATACTCGTCAACAGCAGCAGCAGCATTTGACTTTGAATACAAAGGTGACTTTGTAATAGTTTCGCACACGTCTCACATACCATACGCAGACATACGCTTCACTAACGATTTGCGGTTTAATCCATCAATGCAGCTCAAGCATAGGTGAGCTTGTCCCTTGTTTTTTTTTTGGGTAATTGTCAAAGTGAATATACGAGTGCCATACACGTATGAAGAAAAACCGACCACAAATTAAATATACCACCATTTGATATGAGAGCGCTCTATGATTATTTAAACTTTTTGGCTTTTTATTGCTACTATATTTTTTTTTTTTGAGAGGGTGGATTACAACAATTTGGTACTTTTTCTGTGTATCAATATCCAGGTGGTGTCATTAATTGTTTTGTTTCGTTTTTTCAACGTATTTTTGTTTTGACTGATGGGTTCTTCGTTGTCATGTTCTAGTTTTTTTCCTGGTCAGTTGGACCGTAATACAAAAACGGTTGACCAGTAACCACTAATCTCTATTTAATTCAAATAACTTTCACACGAATTAGTAATTACTGTGTAATTACCACGAAGAGAGAGAGAGCAAGCGAATGAACAATCAATATAAAAAGAACAAAAATAGTAAACGAAAGATAAATTCTATGTAATCAATTGGTGTTCCAATCTAAAACAATACTCAAATTAACCGTTTATCATATCCATTTATTGAAGTTAAATCAAGCGTAAACACAGAGTCACACAAGAATAACACAGATACCATCGATTCGAATGCCTTAAATATTAACATCATCATCATCCGATGGAATTTTTGTATTGTCAAAAATAAGTAAAGAAGAAAACTAAGCACACAAACACAGATTCAAATGCGAAAATACTCGCTTTCTCTCTATCTCTCCCACGCTCTCTCTCTCTCTCTCTTCTCACGCATAAATACAATCAACCAGGCACTTGCATGTGAAACGCACAATTAATCAGCATAAAGTTGCTATATAGGGATAGGTGGGATGGTTTGCATAAAAAGTGTGTATGTTGTCGAAAAACGAAACATATTATCATAATATTATTGTTATGGCCATTTGTTGCTTGGCATCTCAATTGACCCCACACGAGCCACTTTCTTCTTCTCCTCTTCATCGGTGTGGTGTGTGTGTGTGTGTCGATTTTTTCGGTTCTTTCTTTGAAATGCAAAGAAGAAAAGCTAAAATGGTACTTTCAAAAGCCTCTTCGGTCTATTTATTTTGATTTCAAGTGCAAATCCACTTGACGTTTGGCGAATAATAGATTGAGTGAGAGTGTGTATGTGCGCGCGCGCGCTCGTTCGTTCGCTTTCTTTTCCACTTTGTCTGTATCGCTTTGTCGTCGTCGTCGTCATCATCGTTGTCAAAAAAGAAAAATTCTTAAGGAGAGTCTCACAGATTTTGAGACGATGTCGAAAAGAGGAAACAGCCAACCACAACAACAAAAATGACTTTTGCCATTCGACATTCTTCTTTCCTGTCCTATTTCACTAGGCTTTCGTCGATGGTGTAAACTTCTTCTCAGAAGTGGGTGTGCAATGGAAATGGCTCTCGCCTCACACAAACATACACACAAAAACGATAAAATAGAGGAAGAGAGAGAGAGAGAGAGAGAGAGAGAGAGAGAGAGAGAGAGAGAGA